ATTCTGAAACATGGAACACTGTCATACCAGCATTCCATCATGTCAACCAGCATTCCGCAGCATGTTAGCAGAAGCAGCAGCATGTTATAAGTATATGAAAGATCCAAATAGGTTGTAGGTTGGTAGGTATTGGTACTAAGTTTAACTTAATAGGTTAGTAGGCAAGGTTAGGATTAATTTTAGTTGATCATCAAGATAACCATTACGAACAAGTAACAAAATCCTTACCTACCCTTGAAAGCATTGCTTCAATCACATCATCACGAAGAACCAGACAAAATTTTTGCACATTCTTACACTATTTGACATCCTGAATCCAGATATGATGCTTTCATGTGGCGCAAATACAAGAAAAACGAATAATCAAACCCGTGCGTATTCGTATCAACGGCGCCACAATTGTAGATCAGACCTTTTCTGAACAAATGCCACCACAATTTTAATTGATAAGGGATTAAAATGGCATGAGCATCAACATCTTGATTTTTTCTAAAAGATAGCGATAACTGATAACTAATAACTTACCATTCATTTTGAAATCACGGCGGTAGGTACACCAACACATGGCACTGAAAACAGCAAAAGACGGAATGGCGGAATGTCGTATGGAGCCCTAAAACGCAGCTCGAATTGAGCCCGAAAAGGAAGACGAACTGATGCCGCTTTCGGGGCTAATGTACTTTGAGCCCGAAAAGGGCGCCTAACTGATCCCGATTTTAAAATCATACAGATTTGAGCCCTGTTTTGGCACTCATATGAGCCCTTATTCAAAAATGTTCTCAAAGTGTTTTCTGAGTGAGTGTTAAAACTGGATGTCCACAGTTCAGTATCCGCTTTATTTCAGTTTTCACTATTAAAAAAAGTAAAAATTAATGATACAAACTTTTGAGGGTTAGGGCACTGATCATTAGTGCCCCTCCCCCCTCTGTCTAAAGGCTGGCGATAGAATAAAGAGCATCAAACACGAACAGTAGCGGCGGAACACCTTCAATTAGGGGGGGGGGGGCACTGCCGACTTTTGGTCCCATTCTTTCCATGCAACGCCCATAGGGCTAACGTTAAAATGCCAAAATCAAAGGGGGCACGGTGCCCCGGTGCCCTCCCCGTTCCGCCGCCTATGAACACGAAAGCAAAATCTAAGGCATTTTGGAAAAATGAGTATGCCCCGCAGCGTCGGATAGCTACCACCTTCCAGTGGGTCAAGCCAACGGGGCCCAAGTCTATAATGGCACTTAACGATAGCACTAACCTTGTCTCACTTTTCGTTGAAGTCTGTTCCGAATGGTTTCGGCCACAGACTGGCTGCACTAAGGTCGTTTGGTATGTGCAACTGTAATTAAAGCCACCTGAGGCGCCCTGACACCAGGCTGAAGCTGGGTTGGAAATGCTTCGTCTTTGCAGATATCACTGGCCACTGATTCTCGAGTGCCTGAACCGGTAGATGTCGTGGCAAAATTTGGTGTGATAATTTGGACCTTACCGCAGTCAGCACACCCTAAAGCCCTAATAAAGAAACGCCCCGCCCAGAGCTTCTGGATTCCCGTTCCAGTCCACCGTTCCTTCACCTCAGCCCGCCGCCGCGCTCCCTCACTCTCCGTTCCCAGCTTGACGAGCGTTTGGGCCTTAGTTAAGCCTTGCTGTAGGCTTACTGTATAAACCCATCGAGACAGCCCGTCTCGGTGAGCTTATTTGGTGAACTACTGCCTTGGGGAGGGTTTCTGGCGGATCGCTGTCCCAATATGTTTAGATGCGACCGACTGTCTTTGAATGTTTGAGCGGTCTCCTCCCGCTGTGAGCTAGTTTCAGTTGATATCTGTCTCAGAAATACTTTTTAAAGGAAGGTTAAATGGAAATCGAACGTAAAATGAACAGAGGAAATGGTAACGAGTTACCTCATTGCAAAGAAGCGCGCGCCTACTTCAAAAGGTTTGGCACCGTTCTTCAACATCTGATATGCGATCGGGTTATGGCACAATTTTTCCCATTGGAGCTTTTTTCTAATACAGCAATACGAAAAGCGTTACATCGTCCACTGGCGGATCCAGGGAGCGGGCATTTAAAGCAAATATTTACTCCCCCTCCCCTGGCCCCTGCATCGCCCGAAATAGACAAATATGTTTCCTAATAACACTTTTAATCAGGATTTTTTTTTTGCTTTATGCTGTTCAGCATGGTAAGTCCGTAAGGAATCGAAATCCGAGGAGTTTTTGGATTTTGGACACTTTTTGGGGGGTATGTCCCTTACAGCGTCAAAAACGCCTTTCTGGATCCGCCTATGACATCATCTCGACTGGGATCTTGCCCCCCCACGCCAAAATCGAATCCGCCGCCACTGTGTCCAATGTCCAATTCGGAATTTGGTTGGACAAAGGCAGCTTGCTACACCTCAGCATTTTTAAAAAGTAATCGAGTATACCATTGATTGGCGACTAGAAAGCCTATAATAGCTCTCTTTAATAGCCTATAATAGCCCATTTAGCTCTCCATATGATTTAAGTTTTTGGGCAGGTAATAGTACATCAAATGCAAATTAAATAATAGTGTTGAGAGTAAATTATTGCGTAGTTTTCGGACATCTTTAGACATATTTTAGACAAAGGCAGCTTGCTACACCTCAGCATTTTTAAAAAGTAATCGAGTATACCATTGATTGGCGACTAGAAAGCCTATAATAGCTCTCTTTAATAGCCTATAATAGCCCATTTAGCTCTCCATATGATTTAAGTTTTTGGGCAGGTAATAGTACATAAAATGCAAATTAAATAATAGTGTTGAGAGTAAATTATTGCGTAGTTTTCGGACATCCTTAGACATATGGACGCTTGGACAATTTTGGACGGCTAGTGGACGAAAATATCGGACATTGGACGGACATTGGGCATACATTTTCTGAAACTGGCACCATTTGGCACAGTAGGTATTACCTATATCTATATCTGTTGGTGGTGTAGTGCGGCACAGCATCCACTACTGGTGGTGGCGTAGTGCGGCACAATATGCACACTGCTCTTCGTGAATTGCGGCATTGCATCTGCATAACAGCATCAGAGTACTTATAGCTCAGCAGCTCTGCTGGCTGCTAGTGCTGCCTGATGGAATGGTTCTCTGATAAATCATTTTTGTCGTGTGGAATTAGCATCAACGATTAAAAAAAGGAATCATACACATTACTCAATACTCAATCTAAAATGTGACATAAGAGCAGCATAATTTCAAGGAAGTAGGATTCATGCTCAAGTGTATTTTGATCGAGGTTCTTGCGTTTCTAGGCTGTAGAAATGATGCAGTTCTGCATTTGCAGTCTCTAGACTATAAAAATGTCAAAACCCCTCCTCCTCCCCGAAAAGCTCGAGTTAATCGTCAAATACCCGGTCCACCCAGGTTTCCCATTTCCCTGCGTGCCTGTCGCCGCCGCCGCCGCCGCGGCGCGCCGCGGTCGTCTCCGCCGCGCCAGACTCGGCTCGGTCGGACAATGTGGCGCGCCGGCGGCGGTCTCGGCGCTCGCGCTGGCAGCGGCGCCGGCGTCTGGCCGCCGGCCATGGTCTCGTTTCCAGCGGCGCTGCTGCCAATCTGGCGGTGCCGGTTCGGCCGGGTCTCGGCGCCGCCACCACCCACAGAAGGAGCGGCGGTAGCCAGCAGGTCCAGCCAGCCAGTTCCGGTACTGACGACACGACATAACACGATACGGCACTGTAGTAAAGGTCTTTGAGCGGACATACCTTTTGCCCACTAAAACGTCTTTTACGCGACAAACGGGAGGGCGGATTATAATTCATAGCGAAAGCTATAGCCAAGAACAACCAAGTACTATATTTTGATTTTTTGCAGTCATTTTAAATAACTACAATATCGAGGGAGGCTAGGAGAGGGGAGACATTTCCATCACTTACAAGTCAAATTAAAGAGTTATTAAAAAATAGGGTGATTAACTTTCGAATAAAACGCTTGTAGCGTAGACCTCTGATACAGGATCTATGCTTGCAGGTAGACATCTAGTTAGGTTGGACTTTCCTTTATTCTTTATTCGGCTTCATTGGTTTTGGTAGACTTAGAATTTCTGCATCGAGACTGGGCATGCCAATGGCCATGACATCATTCTTATTCGAACTCGCAAAACGGCAAAAGTATGATAAAGGTAGATGCGTTCAAAACATTTGACGACATCGATGCTGTAACACTCTGCTAGTGGAGTACACTGTCATGTACATCGACATGTACATCATGTATAGTCGACTACAGAATGATGATCCACTCCTCAGAAGCTATCAGTTGACCGGAGCACTAAGTTGTGCCGTTTATCACTGTTATAGGCGCGGGAGCCGGGGGGGGGGGGCAATGGGGGCAGCTTGCCCCCCCCCCCCCCAACTCTGGGGCCGTGGGGGCGGTGCCCCCACAGCTTTGAGACGGAATACCACACTTTTTTGCAAATGTTTTCTTTTTTGTTGAAAAGACAAGTGATGAAAAATAAGTGGCCTAAAACCGGTGAGAAACTAGATTTGGGGGTATCCTAGGTTGATCTCTATTATGGTGTGCCCCCCCCCCAATCTGAAAGTAGTTCCCGCGCCCCTGATTAAGCGTGTCGATTGTGGGCATTGGGACAAAGCTATAATTTGTGAACTCAGCCCGTGTGATGCGGCACAGCCTACCACTCCAGGCAAATAATAGCCTGTGAAAAGTGGAACATCATTCTGTATACATACATACCTATACCTATTGCTTAAATTGTATACGGTGACGGTCATCATGCATCAGTTGATCCGGGATTGCGCCACATCACCAACATTCGCTGTCCCTGAAAGACCGTCAACTCCACCGATAATGTCACATTCCTAAGCCTGCTCAGTGCTCCTGCTGTTCCGGCGAGGCCCTTCGGTCAGCCCGAGAACGCCATAGCCTACACACACTGGTGACACTGCTCCGTGACTCCCATGGCTGGCAGGTTGCCAACTCCCTCCCCTCCCCTCTGTCTCTGACACGTGCGACAGTGCCTGCGGCTAATGACGCGACCGGCGCGAGCACGGCCCCAGTCGTGGCAGCGCATTGGTCGGCGTAGGAGCGGAGCGGACACATAGCCAGTGTAAGGCTCTGTCTACACCGGCCCCGCCTCACTGGAGGCCGGAGGTGGAAGCAGCAGCTCCATGTAGTCATGTAGAAGCAGTATAGCTTGGTCTTGGAGTAGTCGAATGATGCAGATGGAGGATGGTAGAGGGTATGGTAGATAGATGCAGTCTAGTCGCCTTGTAGCAGAGGCGCTTACACCATCCTACCCTACAGTTATCCTTCAGTACAGGTAGAAAATAGAAGCCACAGTACACTAGCATTGCATGCTTTTTTCCGTACATTCGCCTGGATTTGGTAGTTGAGAGACGCATCGGTTTCACACAGTGCAATGCTAGCGGAGCCGATTTTCGTTTTGGCTGGCTGGCTGGTCACGGATATAACAGCATAGTTATTGTGTGGATCCAGAGGAAGCCAGAACTTATGAAGCGTTCAAGCAGCGAGCGACAAGGTCACTTGTCTTGCTCGGGAATCGAGCCCGGATGGCTGAAGCTAGAGACAAGGACGCTACCGGCAGCTATACCAGACTACTCCCCGTCTAAGTCTGCTGTCAGGGAATGTAATTCGAAATAGTGCACAGATTTAATAAAGTGAAGTGTGCGTTGTGAAGCCAAGATCTCGACGATCCTGCGCCTGTTTGCTAGCGGAGCCGGTTGGTAATGACGGACGCACCAGCCAACAAACATCTGGATTTGAAGTTTTAACTTTTCTTATTTCATCAGAAACCTTTTTGAGCTTTATGGCCAGGGACGAATAAAATAAACGTCTAAACTAATTTTTCTTAGTCCAGCGTGCCCATGAAGCGTACCATGATCTAATCTTAAACGTATAATATACCGAATCACGCAGCAAAGAAAAAGATAAAGATTTTGGAATATGAATAAACTTTTGGGGAGCAGGCATGCCCTCGTATAGCGAGCAATACCACATTGATGGATCGGCAAGGTACAAAACGTAAGCTAACAACAATTATCTTCTACAGCTATCTTCCTACTCACCAGAACGGCAGTTGTCGAACAGGACATCTTTGAATGCATTTGAAGAGACAAGGCCAAATTTGTGAGGCATTCTAGCCATTTATCATGATCGTGAAATGGCCGTGCATTTTTAGCAGCGAAATTTTTAGGCTTACTCCGTCCAAAATTTAGTGTCATCGTAATAGCTCACTAAACGTCAAAATAACGAAGCTCCGAGGCCTCCAATGTGGCGAAAGCGATTATTAGTTTGATTTATGGCATGGATAAGAGGCTCACAGCAAAAACATGAGTGACATGCTATACTCGCACAGGCTAAAATGATCGCCGAAGATGCGTTTGGTCGATATACGTATAACGGTAACTCTGATAAAACATAGGCGGCGTTCGATGTCTCCCGGACGGCAAAGATTCTTTGCCGTCCGGCCAATAACGTCCAAGGTCAGCGGGGGCTCGGCTGCGGTTATGAAATGTGATTGGCCGGACGGCGTAGAATCTTCGCCGTCCGAGAGACATCGAACGCGGGGCCAGTCTCGTTTCAGAAGCTAACGTAAACCTTCCTGAGAGACAGATAATTGCAAAATGTCTTAAAATGGCTAGCTAAATCACTCTGATCACTGAGTTGTTTCGTAGCAAAGGGAACAATAATTTAACTTCGACAAGTGCTATAAATAGGCATGCTGACAATTTACAAACAACAGCAATCAGCATACAATAGCTGTCAAGCAGTCTACAAATAGTAAACGACAGCATGATCCACGAGGAAGTTAGGAATACCGTCAAGTTTCAAAATTGTTATGTATTTCCAAGTTTTTTTGCATAGGAATCCTAAATGGCTTAAAGGGACCATCCCACCTTAACATTAGACTTGAGTTGAGATAGCCAAAATGGGGTCCCTGGCTCACATTTACCGGTTTCGGCACTCACAACATCGAGAAATGCCTTAAATCGGAAATATTGAATTTCAAAATTGCAGCATTTTGATTCAGAGGGGCTAATGCTTAGGAATACCCCTCTGAATGTGTGACGTCAGCGCAGATATCTAACGTTTTTTAAATGTTTGACTAAAACGTTTTGTAGCACGCGGTGGTATATGCTATTTGCGCGCAACATCTGCCGCAAACGCCGCACTTCTAAAATAAAGTCGCTAGAAACAGCGGAGATCCCAAAAAAGTAAACAAAAGTAAAAGTCAAATATCTTGAAAACCGGTGAATATTTTTCGGTGAAATTTGGTAGATATTCGTTTTCGCTCTTTCTGAACCGAGCGACATTACTTTCATGCCAATTCATAAACTTTTTTGAAGGTGGGAGGGTCCCTTTAAATGATTTTGTTTCCAGAAGAATCGCGCAACTCTTACATAACACAAGTAAAAAGCGCAACAATTATGCATTTAAAACATAGTTTTTAAACTTATTTAATACATTTTCGCCACTCGGGACCACCACTTGATGCATGCATCATATCACGGATGCGAATCATATGTGTGATATGGTGATTGTGAGGGTAAACATATGTACCTATTTGCATGATCCACGCTGTCCGACCTGCCCAGTGAATTCCAAACGTTGATTCCAAGCCCGTTTTCTTCCGACATCCGTTAGTTTTTTAAGCCTAGCTAATTAAACGGGTGGCCATTCACCATATCACTCCATTCCATCATCGTCTTTGCCATGTGCTCGTTTAGAATGTTGACTTTTCCCATGCATGTTGCACTGCATTATTTTGATATGTCTCTAGTACCTATGTCAAATGTTTCCACGTGGACGGAGGACTCTTCTCAATCAACTTCTTCATTTGGGCATATTGGTATTTGACAAACTGCACAAGTTCACATGACACGGTCGTTCTTGTTGAGCCCTGAGTAATTGATACATGCTTTCTGTTTTGGATTATTGGAATTTTACGCATGTCTACGACGGTATCTTTATGTTTGGTAGGGGTAGGGTACCTTCTCTAGTACCTACATTTTACGTACCGGGAGGATACCAACACTGACTCAGAAATGACTGTTCATCAACTCGAATGGGGCCTTTCTAGCCCAGTACTCGGGCGCTCTCACTGAATTAACACCAGATTCGTTTCCTTTTACAGAGATCTCAGAAGTCCGCCACCATGCCGTCCACCAAGAAGGGGGTGAGTACGCCGATAATTATTGGGTGTGGGCGCCTAGGACACCTCTCCTGTCCCTTATCTGGAGTAGGGTGTTTCAGCTGTTTGGCGTTGTAGGCGGGCGTTGTTACCAGATAAAAGTGCCCTCTGATTAGGACGCCTCGATCCAGCCGGGATGATGTGTGCGTCTAGGAACCTTTCGGACATATGTATTGTGCTCTTTTTTTGCATCAATCAGAGCTCACTTAAAAGTCGCTCGAGAAATATGATCGGACATTCCTGCCTGGCGGATCCGACGATATCCAAGTTATTTTGTGAGTTGGAAACGACCGCGGACAGCCTGGCTTAGGAACATTTCCTAAGGACTACCCAGATAAGATTTCCGCATTAGTTCACTGATCCATTTGCCGGTTAAGGTCGCATATTTTCATTAGCTGCACCTAAGAAACTGCAACCGATCACCTAGCGCTAGCGGCCAACAACAAGTCGCCGACTTGTCTGTTTTATCCATGACACGATGCAATTTCAAGGTCACAAATTCTCACGTGGACTGACTGACCCGGTCAGCAATGATTATGACTAAGGCCGATCACATCGGGTACTGCCCACCAATCAAAGTCTTGAAGCCCCTTAAAGGTAGGTACCGTCTTTTGCTTTCCCATATCGTCGACTTAGTATGTTAGTTGACTGGACTGATGAGTCATTTCACGTACAGACACTGAGGTCTTCGATTTTTCCTAGTGCTTTGCACTCTTCCTGTGCACTAGCCCCAGAATATCGGGCGTTTTCGGCCGGGTGTTCCGCCCTGGCTCTGTGCCAAATCCAGTGCCGGTCTCCGTGATGGAGAGGGGTCGGTGGAGGAGGGGAGGGGGGGGGGGGCAGAGAGCACCTGGGCCCTGGCTCAGGTCCAGCACGAGACACATGGGTTTGCCCGTCCCGCTCGTGCGGTGCTGTAAGATGAGACAAGGAGGTTGCTTTACGACTGGAAGTCTAAATTGAAATAATGGTATTAAAATGTAACAGCTTTGTTAATTGTCAGCCTTTCGACCCTGTCTTCATTTTAAATGCAAGTTACACAATGTTTCGGCCAGTAGCATCTACGGCCGCTTTTGGTTTTCTACTCTTTTCACTCGGCCATTTTTCTCTTGTCGCGTTCTCCTAGCTTTTAGTTCAGATTTCAGAAGCTGGGCTGGGGCGTTGTTTGTCGAATATTGACGCCTGATCGGGAAATGCAAATTTTAACATTTGACGACCCCTGGGCATAAAGCGTCGTCATTTTCTACCTTTGGCAATCCATACAAATAATCTTTTACGAGAGCTCGTAAAAGATTATTTTTTACGTAGCGGTACGTAAAACGGTACGTAGCGTTAGACAGCTCTGTCTAACGCTACGTACCGTTTTTACCACGTTTCTTAGTTTTTATACCTTATTAGGATGGTAGGTATACTTGGACAAGCAATCGTTCCCGTCCCTGCGAAGTTGGCTCAATCTCCCGTTTCGGTGCGCCCGTTGGAACCCTATCATTTTAGAACTCCACAAACGTTATTTTGTGACGAAAACAAAATCGCTGCCCCCCCCCCCCCCAGCGCTGGCTCGAGTCACCGTGCGACTAGTTATCAATGCAAAGTTGCTGAAGACGGCACGACAATTATGTTTCAATTCTAGCCAGCAGATGGCAGGAGGATTCAACGCCTGAAGTTATACTGTACCGCAATACTCCGCACCGGCACTGAACGGCATTGGAGTTCGGAATCTTAACCCAAATGATCAGCAGTGGACTTAAATCTTTTTTTTCCAGAGAAAATGTTTCTATGGCATGCCTATGTGGGTACCTTTGAGTGAAACCTTTTATTGGATGTTTAAAGGATCGGCATAAAATGTTCAGTTCTCACGTCCCAGAGCTCTCTGTGATATTTTTTAATGCCTCACCCTAGAAGGAAAACACAATTTGGCCTGTGATAGCAGCTGATAAGGTCATTGTTGCCCTTATCGAATGACTGACTGTGATTTCAATAAGTAACTGATTGCTTCGGTTCGGCTCGTATTCGCTAATCGGGATATTTCGATGCTCGCAGTTGTTGACTAAAATTGCATTATTCCGTACCAAGGAAAGGCTTTTAGTCGGGCCTATCCGTACTCCGTAATGACATTCGGGGGCAACCGTTCGGGGTTCGGAGTTCGGACTCAGAGCCGGCGAAAGGCGTCCGCACAAGCCGGCCGAAAGGGAAGAGAGAGCGATAAAGTAGCTAGACTAGCACTCAAGAATGTCATACTGTAAATAGGGAAGACATACAAATTGGAAATAAGGAATTCAAAACAAAACAGAAATACTACAGACTACGGGAAAAGGAAATCGGGACAGATTTGTACCGATTGCTCCATTTTGAGATTATTTGGCCGTTTCATGTAGCTGACTGCTGAGTGTGCTGAGCTACAGTCAGTGCTTCCAATCCAGAACTCCAGTCTACGGCATTTATACGATTGGGCCCTGAAGGCAAGCCCGCCCGCCCCCGCCCGCGCCCCGTTCCGTGAGAAGTTGGCTCGTACTGCTGTCTGCGCCCGTGTTAAAACCCGATTTTATAATAACGCCAATGTAAAACAGTGCCCGGAAAGAAACCGCCTCACAATCGCCCCCTCCCCCCCCCCCAATGCCAGCTTGGGCCGCCGTTCAGCTATCACACGAACTCGCAGAAGACGACGCTGTAGGTAGTTCTTATTCTAGTCAGCAGATGGCAGAACCATCAAGCGCCTGAAGGTATGCTGTACCGCAATACACCTCACCGACAATTCACGGTATTGGAGTTCAGAATAAGGAATCCAGGTGATCATCGGTGGATTTGAGCCTTTTATCGAGCTAAATGTTTGTTTCTTGGAATGTTTACTTTCCAAGGAGACATTTCAGCTGATATATGGGCAAAATATCGTATTAAAAATGAAGTTATGTCGCCCTACTGCTCCGAGCTAGGGATGGGACGAAGACTGCAAAACAATAACATGATGATTCCGTTAAGCTTTCCAAATACATTTTGTCATCGCATGAGTCACCACAGCCCAGTCTACCACCCGGACCCGGCCGCCGAGTTGGGCGCTGTCCTGTTTAGATTGGACGGTCCGCCCGCCGACCATTTGAACTGAGTCCGGGCCAGGAGCGGGGTCAGTGACGGTAACAGGGTCCCCTGGCCGTCCTCGCCGCCTCGCGACGGCCTTGCGACGATTTATTTCTGCTTCCTGATGTTGTGGCAGGGTGACATGGGCTAGGTTGCATAATGTCCAGGGATGGCGTAATGTGACGCTAACGGGCTGATTCAGAGCTGACGTAAGCTGGACACTGGGGACGGCGTTGTAATAGAGGAAGGTGGTGCGGTGATATAGGTAAAAGGAGACGGCAAGCATGCCGTAACGCGGCATGCAGTTTTATAACCCGTTATTCGAAAGACATAAAACAGCATATCTTTTTTATTTGTAGCTTTTTAATGTTTTAATTTTCAAACAAACTCGTTATTCGTTCAATCGGGGTAGATAAATAAGAAAAGGGTTAGCGGAACGCTAACAACAAACTTCAATGAAAGGAAAAAAACGCAGCATAAGAATAAATATGAAATGGCAGTACAACTTTGAAACGGGCAATGGCACAATCGTTTATGCAGACACCTAATGCATGTTGTGTTTTGTTTTGCAGTCCAAGAAGTCGTCCAAGAAGGCGGGAAGCAGCGTCTTCAGCTCTTTCTCGCAGGTGCAGGTCACCGAATTCAAGGAGGGCTTCCAGCTGATGGACAACGACAAGGACGGCATCCTCAACAAGTCGGACGTCCGGAACGCCTTCGACATCATCGGCAAGATCGTCACCGACAAGGAGCTCGACGAGATGATGAACGACGCCCCGGGACCCATCAGCTTCACCATGTTCGTCAACATGTTCGCCGAGCGTCAGTCGGGCCCCACCGACGACGACGAGACGATCCTGAAGGCCTTCAAGGCGTTCGACCGCGGCGACGGCAAGATCGACTCGGAGGCGTTCCGGACTCAGCTGATGGTCTTTGGTGAGAAGATGACCCCCAAGGAGGTCGACGACGCCTTCGGCGAGATGGAGATCGACGACGACAACAACATCGAGCTGGAGCCCCTGATCGAGATGATCGTCGGAAAGGCGGGCGAGGAGAACGCCGAGGCGGCGCCCGCGGAATAAACAAAACGACGCAAATTGTTATTGTAAGGTGAGAAAACTGCAGCTCGGCTAGTGAATATAACTGATTACGTGATCGGCTAATCATGAGTCACGCATGTCCAGTGTCCTTGATGACAGCATTTGCTTCGATGTCTGCGGGAGATAACGTAAGCACGAACGACTAGCACTTCCCTATAATTCAGGCTTGACAGTTGACGTTCTTCGGGCAGACGGTATTTAGGCAAAATTTGTGTCCTACAGCTGCTGTTATTCGCTGCCCTCGTCCCCAGGCGCCGCGCTGCCACGACTCACCGGGGCCTTCTGCATCGGCCCGTTCAGCTGACGGGTCGCAGGGACGGAGCTGTCCGGCACCCGGGCCCGGCCGGCTGTCTAAGGGACCCACCCTGCAGAAGAGCCGACCGCCCCGGGCGCCGGCCCGGCACGACTCACTGCCGGCGGCGGGGGCGAGGACGGGCGGCCGCCGCCGGCGCCGGACCCGCCGGTGCTCGCGGGACCGGCGCTGACCTCCGGCTGACCTGTCTGACCCCTCGGCTGACCTGTCTGACCCCTCGGCTGACCTGTCTGACCCCTCGGCTGACCTCGCGGTCATGCCAGGCTGCCCACACCGGCACCCTGGGTCCTGAGTCGCGGGTGTTGTTACTTTGATGGTTTCACCGGGTATTCTGGTGGAGACTTGATGCCAAAACGCGATCAGTGACATGTTCAATATACGGATGTTGGTAGAAGTTGAGGTTTGAAGACGGGAACAAAATAAATGATATTTAAACGTTTTGAAGACGATATCGTCAGGCTTACCTACATGTAACTGATTTGCTAGTTCCAGTGATCATCAAAAAAAAAAAAAATTGTCCAAGTTTCCCATTGCCAGAACGGTAAGCATTTTTTTACATTTAATTTCGCAAAGATAATACTTTTTTCTGACAACTCTTCAAAACGTTATTCTTTCAGGAGTCAGAGTGCCGAGTTTCAAAGGCCTTTTCACTTCAGTCACCATACTGCCTCCATCGACCTCCCACGGCTAACAAAAGGCACACTAACGTCACCGGAGGCCGCGGTCCAAATATTTGGAACGAGCCGGGTCCCGACCCTCCAGCGAACCACCCTAACATCCAAACCTGACTCACGAGTCACCGCCGCCTCTGTCTCCCTAATCAAACCTCGAAAACTCCCTCAACTTAGGGCCTCAGACAGCAGCCGACTTCCTAGCGAAACCACCTTTTCCGTGCCGAAATCGAGCCAGGATCTCGCTGTCACCTGCGTCATTCTAGCCGGCCAAACGCGGCGCACCGGCACATAGTCAGCGCATTCCTCCGAAATCTTTGGCCGGTGAGAGGCCGGCCTGGCCCGGGCCCGGAGCCAGCCTCCCCCCCCCCCAACCCCACCCAGCCTCCAGTACCCCTCCCCCTCCGCCGCCCCCGCCAGCACCAAAATAGTGCGGCCGCGAGCGGGGAAACGCGAGCCCTGCGACCGCCTGAGGCGGGCCGGGTGCCGCCCTCCGCTGCTGTCGACTAGGACAGGAAGGACGGGGCCGGCAGGCTGACAGACCACGGACCAATATAGCCGCCTCCGGGAATGCCGCCGCCCGAGACAGAAAGACAGGTGTTGTGAACGGTCCGCGTCCGGATGCGCGAATGCTGAAGCGGTGGGTGCCTATCGATAATCCTGAGACCGTATATGTGGAGCCCATCGTGAAAAGTTTGTGGATGTCGCCTGTCAAATAGCAAGCTTCATATGGCTGCACGGCGAGCATGGCATGAGTTACAAAGCTTTTGAAATTTGATATCAAGCTATTTTAGTTTGAGAAGCTATCTTCATACAAGAACTGCTCGCGGCAAATAACTCACAAGGCTCTTAGCGAAGTCACTTCGAGTTTATCGTCTTAGATATCTAAAATCTAATGCTAGAAAAAAAAATTGACCTTAAACGTGGGCTTCCGCTTACACTGGAGCCTGGTAGCTGCGTTTCGTTCACGTGTATTCGTTATGAGGAGCGCTGAGGTCCGAAAACCCTATTCATAAACTGCATCGGTACGGAACACGAATAAATCGCTTATAACCAGAAAATCACATTTAATCGCACTTGGAATCAAATATTATTGGCCCATACCGCAGATGCAATCAGTCACGCATATCATCACAAAAAAACGTTTGTTCAATATTTTCTTTTTTATTCCGGACGTCCCAAGCCACAGGGCCGAAACGCATAGCAATCCAAACTGTATTCGGTGAGCCGAGTAAAAAAACTTTCTTCAGCCATTCCGGCACAATGCATCTCAAGTCTCGCATCCAAACTTGAGAAGCGAACCTTCTATACCGACCAGCAGTTGGTGAGAACGCCAGCGTGAAAATAAAACTTCTTTGGCGCGCAGACACTGCCAGGTGAACCACCCGGGTTACTCGGGGCCGGGTGGGATGTAGGTGCGCACGACAGATCTGTCCTCGTGACAGAAGGTCTCGTTACGACGCACTCTACTCTGTGCGAGCAGCAGGGGAAAGGCAGCGCAGTGCCTCGTCTTGGTTCGTGGTTGGTGAGGCTGGAATAGTCTATATAGAGGTTGTCGGCCCGTCTGGGCCCAGGTCAACCTCGAGATCTGTCTGGATCAAGGCGCTTCTCGGGCGCGGACAGTGGCCCCGCGGGCCGGCGCTACACTAGCGCAGCGTAGCGCTCAGTTGGGGAACTAGTGGTTCCCTCCGCGACCGCGCCGCGGCGTACATCACTGTGCATATTTCGCTAACGTCGCCGCCACGACAATCACCGGGTGGCACAGCGGCGCACATTTCCTAGAGCCGCTTCCCTCGCGCCCCGGTGACAGCGCTAGTTACCGATGACATCATTGATGACGTCACTAACTCGTGTCACTCTCGGCGCGTCTCGGTGCGTGTACAAACTCCACCCGTGCGGCGTCCCTCGAGCGCCACTCCCTGGTTCAGTTCGGCCCGCCCGCCCGGCGGATCACGGGCCTCCGCCGCAGCAGGGCGCAGTCTGCCGCGGCGATCAACAAAACTCGCAGCTCCCTGCGCCTCTCTCGGAGCTCTCTCCGAGCTCACACCGCGCCGCACCGCGCAATGGACTGTCTGGACAGAACGCACACCGGACAGAACGCACCTTAGACGGATCACACGGCGGCATCGTACAAAACACCACCCTCCCGGCGGTCGGCGCGCGCGCTCTCACCCACCCTCTCACTCACTCTGCCACACACACGGTTGCTCCGTGCCCTTTCTCTCGCCCTCTCGCTCGTCGAAACACGCGCGCCCCGTCCCTGCCCTCCCCACCCATCCCTTCCCCCTCCCCGGCCGGTTCGCGTTGCACTGAGTCCCTTTTCCGCGTCTAGCGGCGCTTGCGTCAGCGTCACGGGTTCATATGAGGCACTAGCGGTATGGGATGACCCGAGCCAGGACCTGAAACAGAAACCCAAACACAACATTACGACGATGAATATGATAGAGTATTTTTTAACGGGAGGAAGAAAGGCACATCACACCAGACACAACAAGAACCAGCAATCGTTGTGCTGACAGGATGTGGGCTGACTTTCAATCACGTGCAAAATTATTCCCAGCTGAAGGCTGCTACCAGAGTGCATGGTTTTACCTAAACAAAAGCCAACTTGTGCGATTACCAACTCTTACATGTTAAATTCTATGACTCCACAAACGATTATAAAAAAAAAACACTCCACGAGCACTGGCAAAAGCACTCATCACAGCGCCCCGACCGTATCCCTCCCCTGCGGTGCGCTTACACTAACCGTAAGGCTGCTGCTGCGGCGGCTGCGGCGGCTGGCCGGGGTGGTGGCCCTGCGCCTGCTGGAAGTTATAGTACTGCTGCGGCGTCATCGGCACGCCCATCGGCATCTGAGACGAGGTGGGCGTGGTGGCGGGACCAGGCGGCGGCTGCGGCTGCATCACGGTGAACTGGGGCGCCATCTGCTGACCGGGCTGGCCGGGAATCAGGTACACACTGGTGGGTGTGTAGACGGGCCCGCCACCTCCCTGCGCCAGCTGGTACATCAGTCCTCCGCCGCCGGGGCCGCCAGCCTGGCCGCCGCCCGGACCGCCCGCCTGCGGCGGCACCATGCTGTAGCCGAGCGTCTGGTGCGGCGCCGGCGGCGGCCCCGGCTGGCCGTCGTAGCCGCCGGACGGGCCCGGGTGCTGCTGGTGCTGAGGGCCGGGCTGCTGCTGGTGCGGCGGCGGCATCGGCTGCGGCTGCTGCTGGTACATCGCCGCGTGAGAGGTCGGCATCATGCGGAAAAACACCTGCTGGAAAAACGGAGACGGACACACGTCAGGAAACGAGCACGACATACTTCTGCAGGCTATTGCAACAGTGATGAGTCCATTTTAGCAGTTCGTGGTAGATATTGTATCCTATTGAAAATCGGCAGGGGATCACGGGGGTCGCAGTAGTCATTAAAGGGACCCTCCCACCTTCAAAAAAGTTAATGAATTGGCACGAAAGTGATGTCGCTCGGTTCAGAAAGAGCGAAAACGAATATCTACCAAATTTCATCGAAAAATATTCACCGGTTTTCAAGATATTAGACTTTTACTTTTGTTTACTTTTTGGGATCTCCGCTGTTCCTAGCGACTTTATTTAAAAGTGCGGCATTTGTTGCGCACAAAGCAGCATATACCACCGTGTGCTACCAAACGTTTTAGTAAAAGATTTAAAAATTGTTAGATCTCCGCTGACGTCACAAATTCTAAGGGGGCATACCAATGCACTAGCCCCTTAGAATCCGAAAACTGCAAGTTTGAAATTCCATATCTCCGAATTAAAGCATTTGTCGATGTTGTGAGTGCCCAAACCGGTATTTGCAGGCCATGGCCACCAATTTGGCTATCTCAACTCAAAACTAATGTTAAGGTGGGAGTGTCCCTTTAAGCACACAGACTGGAACTGAGTGGAAACAGCCTGTAGCTGTCTCAATCGTCATACGAGCTATTATCCATGTTGCACTAGTCAAACGAACAGTAGGCAGCATTCCAAATAACACTGCCACCTCTCCCTGTCCCAAGTCCCCGTTGCCCTCACCTGTCCTCCTCCCGTGTCCCCACCGGCCTCACCTCTCTGTCAAGTATACCCACTGCTCTCATCTGTCCCCTCCCTGGTATCCACCCATCCTTCTCGCTGCCTCCGTGCCCCCTCTCCCCTCACCTGTCCCGGCGCCGGGTAGCCGTGCGGCATCATGCTGTTGGGCGGCATTGGCACGCCCACATGCTGTCCCGGCGGGTGGCCCGACAGCGGCGAGGTGGCCATCAGGGGAGGTCCGGTGACGGCGGCCACCTGGATCGGTGACGCCTCGGGACGGTGCGCCACGCCGCCCATCGGGTACTCCCCTCCTGTGGGCGGGTAAGGGAGCGGGGCGGTCAGTGGGGAGCGAAGCGGAAATATGTGTAGGCTCTTTTTCGATGTGGTATATCGTAAACTTGCGTTAATATGAAAACCAGAAAGCCAATAATGCAACGCAAAATAATACTTAAAACAATACCAGACAAAGGCAACTGATCTTAGATCACTGAAAGGGTTAAAAATCGATATCACTTTATAAGGAAGTAAAATAGTTACCTGTCTACGGGAAAACAAGACCTTACAATTCAAGATTCAGGCACGCAAAGAGAGAAAGAAGCTGATGCAGATGGCAGTCGCGTAAATTACAACACAACCGAACACAACAGAATTAAAACGGAATTCGCTCTCCACGTTCAGCCCCACCAGTATCACCTCCCGAAACCATCCAACGTCCTTTCAGAACACGTACCTCTCTGTTTGTGCGGCCGGGGCGGCTGGTGCATCTGATGAGGCGCCGCGAACGACTGCGGGCCCATGATGTAGTTGAACGGCGGCTGGCCAGGCGATGAGATGAGCGACAGAGGAGCCGTCTGAGGGGTCATGGCGCGCGCCGGCTCCGGCTGAGGGAGGGGCACAGGCGTGTCAGTTAGGCCATGGGAAACATTACGGGGGATACAGCAAACCCCTGTAATATTCAGAAACAAATGTGGGCGACGAAGGGACAAGAGCAAAATAATTTGGCTAGGTAAAAAGAAGCATGAACTGGAATTTACACGAAACATTGATCAGACACCATATCGTTGCTGCCTGAAGTACTACTACTTAGCATTACGGCACGATCCGAGAAAATCCCTGGACGTCTCACTCCGTCTCCTAGCCCTGACCTTACTGTCGCTAAAATATCACTTCAGGGAAGCATAACTTCACTTCGTGGAAGGCACTGACCAGAACTATAAACATTTAAAGCTCAGCCATTCAATCGATCCAGAGGGACCTCCAAACCCCTCCGGGAACTCACCGAATAACCCATCGCCATTGACACCGTTGGCGGCGTGAAAGGAGTAAAGGCCTTCGCGTTGGGGTTCATGGTAAACTCCTTGGCGTTCGGGTTCAGTTTCGACTTGGACAGCGAGTCGGCTAGCTTGTTGGTATCCTCTGGAGCCGGGGTAGTGGCCGGGGTCGTCGGAGTGCCACCCGCAGCTGAAGTCTCGCCAGGTGAAGTATCGGCGGCCGCCGCGCCGGTGGGCGGTGCGGGACTGGAGCCCTCCTCCCCGCGGGCCGGTTCCGGCTTCTCAGGTTTGTCCTGTTTCTCTGCGGGTACGGGAGCCGTCGGTGCGGCAGCCGACGAGGCCTCCTCTGACAGGACGAAGTTCTCCTGGAAGTCCTTCAGGCCCGCCAGCGTCTTTGCCGGGCCGCGGGGGGACTGGGCCGGCTGGGAGCGGGGCTCGCCGCGCTGCTCAGCTGGCGAGGCGGCGGCCGTCTCCGGCGCCGGCTCCTGCTCTCTGCTGGGACTCTGTGCCGGCGGCGCGGTCGGTCCGTGCGGCGGGGGCCCGTCCGGAGTGCGGTCCTCGCGGCCCCGGCTGGGAGTACGCCCGGAGCCCGGCCGGCCGTGGTGCGTCTGGCGCTGCTGCTGATGCGGAGGTCCGCCGGCCGATCCGGGCCGCGGACCGCGCGGTCCTCCGGCGCCCGGCGGCGGTCCGCGCGGTCCTCCACGCGGCGGCTCGCGCATCTCACGGACCGGCCGGCGCGCGGGAGGCACGTAGCGGTCTCCGCGGCCATCTTGGCCGGGCCGCGACACCGCCGCGAACGCCGCCTCCTCGTCTCCATTCTCGGCGTCGGCGCGATGACGGGAGGTGCTCGAGCGCTCGATCTCGTGCGCGATGCGCGCGGCACGCTCGTGCTGGTCGTGCGAGACGCGCTCCAGCGGCGTGGTGTAGCCGGCCAGCGTCTGGTCGAACGTCGAGCGGACGCCGTACTTCTTCTCGTTCATGCGGAACATGTCCCGCGCGTCCCAGCCGTTCTGTGGAACAGAGGTAGCATTTTTTAGGGACTGAGATCTAATGCTGTGTATGGGTACAAAACTGCAGATATCTGAACCATAGCTTGGACTGACTCATGATTCTGGAGCTGAATTCGGCCCTGATGAGCTATGCATGTAAAACGTGAATGACGTATGCTCAATGTCTAAGTAGATACCTCTGTATGGTATATATAGTCTAAAGGCTATGCATCCCAGATTTCTTTTGCCGTGCTTGATGAATGACAACTAGTTTTGGCCTGCACTTAAAAACTATAGCATGCTGACGAAGGCCGAATCACTCTGTTCTAAATCGATTGATGTCGAATACTGCTATCTTTTAACAAGTTGAGTAAAACAGCCAGATTTATCTGCCATCAGAAGATCATGATGGTAATTGGCACAGTTTGCAACAGCTGGTGCCTGCGTGGTAGAACGCACGATACGACTTCTAATCGGCCATGACAGCGACAAACTGGCCACATACAGACCCACTCGGACGCACCGTGCTCCGCTGCAGTCCACCGCCGAATTTCGGCCACAATGTACCATTGGAAAATAATGTAATCGGCACCCCTGCAAGTTATGTAAGGGACATTTCGGACTCACAAAGGTCATAAGGGCAAAACATAGGGCGCACGTCGTACTGCACTAAACTGCACTAAATCGAGGTTGATAATGTAATAACCATTGTCAGATTTTCAGTGAACTATTGCCATTTTTAGCAGCAGCACTACCTTCATTTTCTTTTAATTCTTTCGTAAATGCAGCAGATATTCTTTGGATAATTAATATGATCATCATCGTAGATGAAAGTGAAAGGGACACGTTGAGATAGCAGAGGCCCATAAGCCTATCATTGTTCATTGACAAATATAATTGACAGGTCCATCAAATTTATGCTGTATAATCGACCAAGGATTATCAAAAGTTTAGGCCATACATGCACTTACATGTCACATAATCGACCAAACAATAACCGATTTTCTGTCCACTTTTTCACTCATCATTCTTTTCCACTCTTTTCGGCTCTACATCTGCTCTTCTGTAGCTCAGAAATTAATCCAAGGACTATCAGATGCTGTCCACCTCAGCTCTGCCATAGGGTGGTGTCAGCGGTGAACGGAGGCGGGAGGACCCAGGGACCCACTCACCGCCTCATCCAGCGAGACCAGGAGGATCCAGGGACCCACTCACCGCCTCGTCCAGCGAGACCAGGAGGACCCAGGGACCCACTCACCGCCTCGTCCAGCGAGACCAGGAGGACCCAGGGACCCACTCACCGCCTCGTCCAGAGAGACCAGGAGGACCCAGGGACCCACTCACCGCCTCGTCCAGCGAGACCAGGAGGACCAACGGACCCAGGGACCCACTCACCGCCTTATCCAGAGAGACCAGGAGGACCCAGGGACCCACTCACCGCCTCGTCCAGCGAGACTAGGAGGACCCAGGGACCCACTCACCGCCTCGTCCAGAGAGACCAGGTGGTCGGTGGCGGCATCGTCCGCGATCCACGGCTGCAGCTCCTTGTGCCCCGCAGAGCCATTGGTGCGGCCCGTGATGGCGCCGTCAGTCTGGAACCCGCCTGCCACGAGAAGACACGGGTAAGTGGGAAGCGTGGAAGGATTCTGGCTTGGTGAGCGACTGGATTGGGCCAGCACACGTCTCGTCGATCGTAGAAAAAGGGAGATAGCCGAGATGGTGTTGTCTAGTGAAACACCAGAGGCACGAAAACAATGTTCGCGACTGCTGGGAATATATAAATGAAAAACGGAGGTAATGCTACTATGAGATTACCTCAGAGTTAAGCTGCTCTACGGAAAAGGTCAGTCGGGATGTGGTCTACGTGAGAGCGTCAGACCAGACGGCAGGGAGGAAAACAACTAAAAAGTAGACAAGCACAATGTGAAAACAAAAGTGATAAACTAAAGCGTCGCGTAACAAATACAAGGGAAGCGAAACAGCAAGGCATACGTTTCTCCACTTCCCAGCTTTTACAAACCACTCGCTATTTCTAATAGCATTTTACGATTCAACACCCACTCAAAACATATCACACCATATACACCATACAAGGTCCCAGTCCCAACCATCACCATCACCAACCCCCATACTCTGTACTCACTTTTGGTGGCGTACTCCATGTCCACATTGGTGACGGTCACATGCGCCACCTGTTCGCCGAGGAAGATACATTCCTCGCGGACCTCACGCGGGTCGATCCGCTTCGGCTCCTCTCGGTTCAGCGGGTGCACCATGCCCAGCACGAAGTTGTTCTCCTTCGACAGCGCCTTCAGAATGCCCTCGAACACTTCGTTGTTCGTTGTGGTCACCTGTGGCAGTGGCGACGGCAGGGCGGCGGTTAAAAACAGACAGGTGTCTTTGAAAAACAGCTCTCGACTACGGAAAAACACGATCGAACGGTTTTAGTGACCGCCAATCATGTGCAATAACCGCCGTCATTAACGTAATGCTTTCAGCACGTGCTGTTTCGTATCATAACATACAAAACTAGAGTCGGTAAAATATCGAAGCACGCACGGGAAAATAGCAAAACAGGCTCGGAAGTCAGACCATCGTGCGCGTCACTCCTACCCTCAATATATGTATAAACAAAAATCGGGACACCGCTCATTAACCATCGATACGGTTCCATGTGTCATAGCAAAAGTTAATGGACAGTTACGGCGTCTTTCAAGTTCCAATGTCCGTTTTAAACATTTATTATGCAGCCAGACAGGCCGCCCGATCTACTACGGCCCGTCAGCAGTAGCGTTTTCCAACACCGTCTATTCATATTACCAGACATCCACCTGCTCCCGATTTTCTAGTCTCGCTATCTACCGATTATCGCGCATATTCCCTTCATTCACAACCCCATCCCACACCAGCGGACCACCACACTGAAAAACAGGTGTATGCCACGGAGGGCATCACGGCGGCCAGTCTCTGCACAGCGCTCCGCACCGGCTGTGATCGGTGACCCGTGCACTGCACCATGATTTAACGGTGGTGAAATGTTGCAGGTCCAAAACAAAATACCGCAAACCACGCACCTCTCCCAATTGAATTCCTAATGCCGACTAATTGAAACGAGCATGTCGGTTTTATTCAGCACACAATCCAAATAGTCTTGCTCACAATCGCAATCACTCATGAGTCTTATGCCGATCAGTCTCGACAAATTCACTCCTTTGCCATCACGTCGCCCCTTTCTCTCACCAACCGACATTCCTCGCTCCGTCATCGCATCTGTCTCCTCAGTCCGCCCTTTACCCTCATATTGCCCATTCGCTGTAAGCTAGCCTCTTTGTTTTCATCGCCACTCATTCATCCTGGCATCCTCGCCTCTCCCCCTCGCCAATGAATGAACCACTTCCTCCTTACGTCTTGACTCTACCCTTTCACACATACACAACATACACTCCAACCCACCAGCCTTCAATCATCTCCAACCGAATCAGGCCGGTGGTTACCAGCAGCCCTCTCCCTTCCCCTCCCTCCCTCCTTCACGCACCAACAGCACACTGTCATGATCGCCGGGGGCGGGGCTGGGAGGGGCGGGGGCGGGGCCGAGGGCGGGGCCGCCGGAAGCTGACGGTCACGTAGCGCCGCTGCCCGCTGTGACCGGACATATGGCAGAGGTGGGCGCGGCATCGCGCCGACAGCACCCAGTGCACATTGTCATCAAATAGGCGTGCACAGTGTGCACACGGCGGTAACACAGCAGTGGTGAATGATGAATAAAAAGGTGCTGCGAAAACTACCGCCTCGTGGGCCGTTTTACTTTCACGGCTGTCGCTGATGAGGCGTTTGGTCCACAAAGCGATAAGTGACGGGTGAAATTCAATAAGGTAATCAGGGCATGCCGAATTCTGCACTTGACCTTTGATAATAAACGTCGAAGCTGATCGTAAACAGAAATACACGCATGAAGCGCCGTCAAAAAAAGAGAAAAATGCATCCAACGAGCTCCATGATACACCTTCGGATTCGAAATGTTCTTTTAGATTTATAATCATGCATGTTCTCCGGAGGTCCAATAACGGAATTTTTCCGATCGGTAGCCGATATAAAGCAGTCATTGTCGACAATATATCAGGGCCGGCGTCTAACTTCGGCTGAACTACGACGAAAATTGTAACTGTTGGACGACAACCGGTTGGGATACGATGATTCTAAGACTGAGCCGAAAGCGTCAACAGAAGCCACCCAGCCGGCAGCCATACATACGACATGAGTTCAATCACCTGTTGATGTTTTCGTGGCCCGTTGTCCTTGAGACACTCCCAGTGCTGAGTCCGTCAGTAGTAGGGCCGGTTCACACGACACATCACCGTATAGTTTCCCCACCACCCGTCATCGAGGATCGTTCAGTACTCACCCGCACGGGGCATCCCAGGATGGAGGTGAGCGCGTGCGCGTACTGGGCGTTGGCGTACACCCCGGAGGCCTCCGCTGGCGGCCGGTCCTGACTGCCACGAGAGTCCCGCGGCCGACCGTGTCTGAGAGGGAGGAAACAGAAGGAATAGTGAGAAGTGGGACGGTGGGGACGACTAAAGGTCATTCACGATAAAAATCCAAAATGTCAGCAACGATATAAAACAAAATTAGCCGAAGCCGAAGATATGCCCAAAAAACGACGGCATAATATAGCAAAATAGTTTTGTTACACCTTGCCTTGAAAGCTTTGACCAACATAAGCTTTGGATAAACAAGTACAGAAATGTATTCAAACTATAGCTTTGTTCAGCCAACTAATGAGAAAGCTAAGACTGTAAAAAATACAAAAAGAAATCATAAAACAACCAGCAATTTATAGAGCAGATCAAACGATGAGCTACACAACAAACTCAGCAGAGCGAATAATTCACCGACACAATATGCACCGCCTCAAGGCTCGGCGATCAGCGCGCAGTGCGACTCCGTCCCTCTCTCGCCGGTCGCCCCAAGACCCTAAAACTCCGGTCGGCCCGTGCCCACCCGGTACCGCCCGCCTGCCCGACTGACTGACCTGGAGCCGCCGCCCGAGTGGGGCGCGTTGGAGCTCCGCGGCCGCCTCGGCCGGCCTCCCTGGCTGCTGTTCATTCCACTGTTTGTGTAGGTCTTGGTCGCTATCTGAAACAACGCAGCAACGGCGATTTTGGTAGATGTTACGGTGAAATGAAAATTAAATGCAACAACGACATTCATCAGGAACTGGAAGCTAAATTATTTTTCTTTTTTGTGGAAACATATTACAAGAGCTGTAAATACACACTTGTCATATACAGCCTCTTCAAATGCCCCATGAACCTCTCAATTGGACAGGGCTTCAGTCTCAATAATTTTAATAGGTATGGCTTTCATGAGTAGAAAAAAACTGCAGCAAAACTTGGCACAGATCCCTATGAATCAATTTTGTATCATGTGTGAGAATTTTGACCCTAGGTCACCTAAAGTAAGGTTGTCAGGTCAAGCAAAATAACATTGCCTCTTCAAAAAAAAAAAAAAACTTTGTGATCCTGTCAATGCTACAATTTTTATCATAGAAGTCTAAAAATTGGTGTTTTGAATAAGGGTATCAGTGCAAACAATTCATATATCTCTGAATTCTTATGTTTCATAACCATGATGTGGGGTTGGTCAGATTTGTAACCTTATCATTAGAAAACAAATAACAATGGAAGAAAAGTAAAAAGGCCTCCTGCTACTAACAAACATACAAACCTAAAATATATTCCTGAATCATTATATCTTTGGCCTAATGGAATAGACAGGTTCCAGACTGTTGTATTTAAACAGTCACTTGGACATCCTGTTAGGTCACAAAGGTCACCAAAGTTTTTGGACAAAAACTTTTAATGGAAACAAGGATGAACAATAAAATGCATGAAATGTATTGGGCTTGAAAGCACATACCAATTGATATGCTACATGACTTCCAATTATATCATGGCATTTTTGCTTTTCATAGTTTTTTTAGATAATCAGGTGTGAGTGGGCTAAAAGCCCTTCCCCACATGGGGAAGTTGGCTGAGAGCCACACTGAGAAATGAGTTAAATTTGATAGGGACCATTAGCCAGACTGCAAAGCATGGCAATTTTGACAATATTTTGTTGGTGCAAGGGCAATCTGCCAGTGTGTGGTGCACTGGGGATTTACTGCAGTGTGGTGATATTGATGTTTTATGTGAAGAGGTGCAGGTCCTTCACATGGCACTGTGCTTAGCTGCTGTGCTGGCACATCATTGTCCAAGAAAATTATGTATGGGAGACACAAGGGGGTCAGCCAGGAAATTCATCCCACCAATGAGACCAATGCCCTTCATTGCAGTTTTCATCAGTCGTGCAAAAATCTACCAATCTGATTATCTGTGGCAAAAATTATCAGCATTGTTTGGTGTGAGCTGATGCATTTGTCCGGCTGTTTGGTGTAAGCTGGTGCACCCATGGTTGTCAACCTGGCTCATCTCAATCTGGTTTGTAAACCGAGTTGCCACGTTTTACAATTTCTGAACCAGCAATTGGAAAGTCAAAATAGGTTTTCATTTATTTAACACCACATACAAAACATTAAAAACATTCAGCATAATACCTGATTAATGATGCGCAAAACATGCAACTTACCTCTGAGTGGAAGCTAGCCTGCTTTTCGCCTTCGCCGCGGAAATGCATTAACTTGATCAGTTATTTCTGGGCGCGTACCACCATTTATAGGCGTGGCGTCGACTACCAGGCATAAAAGAGTACGCTTTTTTCGACTCTTACCTATGAAAACCTTGCGTTCTAATATCAAATACTAAAACACAGTTAATGAGCAGGTAAATATCACTCGAAACTTTCCCGCGCCCGGTTCCAAGCGCTTGTAAACAACACACGCCGCACCACGTCAACCAAAACACGAACTTCTACATTTGTGGCGCATTTGGAAGCCGTCCTTACGTTCTAAAGCTGCCATATGTTATGGAAAGTTTTCTACCTCTTTCGTAAATTTTTAGCAAAATAAATTAGAGGTCACAAATTCTTATTCTGAGAAAATACGCTACAGCTGCTGCAGCTGAGGCGATCATCTGTGCTGCTTGACTCAAAATTATGAACAGCTTGGCAAAAATAACGCTCAAATTAATTACTTGACGGCAGAATTTAAATTCTGTTGATACTGACTTTATGAAAGTTAGGAAAATTTCATCACAAAAATCTTATTTTATAATTTAAAAGGACCAATAATTGAAAATTCACGCTATATTTTCAATATTGGAGAACATTTTACACTTCATCATAATTTTCGCTCACCTAGTTGACGACTAAGGAAAATTCTGCCGCTCTAATCGTGACGTCAGTCATCAGCTGTGATGCGGATATGTTTACATGCGCCATAGTAGCGCGCGCCGCCGCAGCAGCGACGTCCTTGAGAATCCACATCTGCCGAAGCTGCCCCTTGTTGCGGGGCAACTTCAAGGGTTTTGGAATTTTCAGGGCGACAGGCTGCGAACCATGAACTTGGACTATTATATAAGAAAGCTATAATGCACTGCAACGGCAGGCACAGGTCTGAGGTAAGGAGATTCGTTCAAAGGCCATGTTTCAATCGATAGCCTTTGTTGTGATGAGTTGGCCCCTGAGGGCACTTGTGCTTCAAAACATCTGATTTGTGCTTTTAATGAAGATTTACTCTTTCTTTTATGTCATTGAATATTTGGGTTTGCTCATGTTTCCTGACCATTTGACGCATGCAGTGCCAATAACTTATTCTCATCCAATGTCTTTGTCTTGCCAGTGTATCAGTATGTCGCTGTCAATGACCTCTTTGTCCATGTTCTTGTGGGATATTGTAACATTTAATTTTATTTTCATTTAATATGTTATCTTGACATCTTTGGTTGCATCATGTTTGGTTTCATTTCAGTTTAATCAAATTTTGTTTGTTTGATGAAGCTAGGCATCTACTGCAGTCTGCAGTACCTATGTTTTTTGTGTGTTGCGACTGGTTCAGTCTTAAAATCGTGGGTATTTGAATGCCTGGATACCTATATATTTCTTATCACAATGCTGGCTATTTCAGGCATTTTTTGTACTTGTTCAAATGCCTGACACTAGAGATAAAATTTATTTTTGGCAACATTTCAAAGTTATTCAGTTTAGCCATATTAAGTTTAAAGTTCGTTTTTTTGTTCTTCAATAAATTTTGATATGGTCATATACCTCTCTCATTCACTTGATGTTTTTTCCTGAAACAAGATGACATAAGTTGCATAATATTTGATCTTATTTCTATCACTTTTGAGCTCACATTGAATGAACCCATACAGGCCCTATATCATATGTCCCATTTTCTTGAATATGCTCCCATGACATCTGTTGAATACATTATCACCAATGCTGACATTACAGAGGGTTATTATGTGCACTATGACACATATAATGTACTCTTGCAGTTTATAATTTTATACATATCTTACTGGACAGAAATGTCAATCATCCCTAGTTCCCTACCCAGGATTCATCTATCTTGAAGAATCTCGGGTTTTGTTGTGGTTGAGCGATGTTTTTCCGGGCCTAGTCTACATGTCCGGACTCCGGAGGCAAATGGCGCAGCCTGGGTTGAAAGGCAACAAGAACCGTCAGCACGTGCACGTATTATGAAGACCGCTTATTGGTCACAAGTACCCCTGTAACTTGTAAGTCACCATGTATCAAGGTTAACATCGTTGGATTACGATTACGAAAAATACCTCAAATATGCTGACCATCGTCTTTTGCGATAGGGCTTAGAAAGTGCGAACGCATCTCTAGTTGATCGACGTAAACGCTGATTGATCGACGAGGCTTATGACGCATTTTGTGACACTGCTTGCTTTCATTCGCAGCCTGCCCGCATTTTCCAAGAAGACGAGGCCCTCATCAACAAAAAACTTCCCAAAGAGGTGCTAATCAGGTGAGAAAAAATATTAAAATCTCAACTTGTACTTGAAATCTTTGTGAGGTGAGAAATATTCACGATCTTATTTAAGCATGTTAACAAATACGGGTTTATTTAGCGACACCATTCTCTTCGTTTTCGAAACGAAGACACAAAACGTTTTATTCCTACTTGCGTTTATGGAGTTGCATCCTGTGAAGATCAGATTTCCATTGATCCTGAAACCATCACGAGAACATATGAAATTTACTTGTCGCTGATAACCCTCTTTTTCAAACAAGCAATGTCATGACGATGAAGTGTATATGTAATAGGTGAATACAACGTTATTGTGGTTCAATGTAACATTATACCGTTCTTTAACTCCTTGTCGGTACTTTCGCTATTTATCACTGATATGTAATCGTAATAAAATTGTCTGCTCATCTGTGATGCCCTCTCCTGCCACGTTTGTTGTCCGTTGCAGAGTGTTCTCTTTTCTGGACATTGTCTCGCTCTGCCGGTGTGCCCAAGTGTGCAAATACTGGAACATTCTCGCCCTCGATGGCAGCAACTGGAAACGCATCGACCTCTTCTCATTTCAGGTGGATGTGCAGGTGAGTCCTACAGGGCGCCTAGCGCGGATTTAATCTTATTTTCTGTGTACGTTCACGTGGTTATCTCTGTCTTTTTGGCTTATTAATCGATTGTGCGGTTATTGTATTCAATGTGTGTTCGTTCGACTTGGTTCGTGGACGGGGAGTTTTTTTTATTTAATAATGAGCGTTTTATTATGTGTATGTCATGCTTTATCGTGTCCATTTCCAAGCTGAACGTTAAGTCTGATGTTTTCCGTTGCTGGGCCTATAGGCTATACTGCAATGCATGTAGGTATTACCTTCTGCAAACATCCAAACCACGTTCTACAGATTTCTTAGACTCCTTGAACTCTCATAAGTTTGCTTCACTTGAATTATCCGCCATGCCCCAGCTTGTTTGCTAGCTGCAGTATTATAACGTATATTACAATAGCCCTTACAAGGTTTCGAAAACGGTCTTGTTCGTCAAACATGTTCGCTGCGTATGATGGGTATATAGGGCCTTGGTATGATGCATCAGTGAAGCGTGCGAACATAGTGTAGCGTGTTGAGTTCAGATGCTCTGCTATATTTAACCCGTCCTTGTAAATCGCGTTGCTTACGATATCGCTATCTTCTTACACGCAGGCATATTTTCGCTGTTGCCCGGCAGTATTTCAGATTCAGCACAAAATTTAACCAAGATTGGCCTTCAAAGAAAGGATGTTTTCACGATTTAGTTAGATAGTTCGTGAGATAGTTATACAAATACTGCAGAATATATAGGAAGCACTCAGCATGACGAAGCTTATAATTTCGAGTCTCAGCTTTTCTGTCGATCCTGGCTCGTGGCTTACGCGTCTGACTCGCTGCAATGTGGATCGATTCGATCGTATCGGCGTCCAACTCTCGGCACCACGATGTTAGTGAAACAGTTAATCTGTCACACGCAGCCCGCAATTGACACCGACAAATACTCTGAAAACAACGACGTTTGGTGGTTTACTGAATGGCTTTGTTGCGTTGTCTGGTTGAAAGCCGCGCAGAATGCCCGTTGAGGTGTATTGTAGCGGTGTTTTTCGCTATCGAAGCGATGGATTCCACGACGGTGATCAGTATGCCCTAGTGGAGGGGGTCCCCTGAGCATTCTGGTGCTTTGTGAATGTGACTTCCTTCGGCTCTGGGATCGTCTAACCGATCGAGTGCATGCATAGCACAGAGCTCTGCGTTCCGCTGGCACACTGAACAATAGAATGCTGCTCGGCAAAGAGAGGCCGAGTGTTTGCTTCAAGCCGCTCAACTTGTTAGAAATCAAATAGCTGGATACCTTGAGCTGCGTTCGACTCGCATCAACGTTGAACGTCTTGAATTAAACACCAAGGCGCTGTCGATAGTCCACAACGCACAGGGTGTCTCAAAAGTTCGTTCACACATTTTTCATGCCAATAAAGCATATAAGAACCGGCCAAAAGTATAAGGTTTTGGTGTCTGTGTGTACACTAGACAAATATGCATGCTTTGACAACTGATTAAGAAGGTTGGAAACCAAGCCCTTTGCTGTATCTCCAAAAATATTTGCCCATACCGATTTTTGTTGCTCCGTCAGCTGCCGGAGGCTGATAAAAGGTTACCAGCTTTGAAGCTCTTGCAGGGGAATCCCCTGCAGTTTCTGCGTCGGATTTAGTTTTGACTAGCTCCCCGGCAACATCTGATTTTCCCTGAAAGCCGACAGCTTGCATCGACACCATTTTTGAGTATTTTGTAGGCATTCTCTGGCGCTAACTCCTTCATGAATGACTGGCGCCGACATCCCAAGCGCCATTTTCCTTTTCAAAACGACCCCAGTCCTGAACAAACGGGAAGTGCCAGGAGTAAATTTTTCGCATCATATGGTAGCAGAATGTGTCGGATGTCTGTTTCTCAGACACATTGCGCAAATTTTGCAAATTCCAAGCGCTCGTCATTCCCCATGCCAAGACCTTCGCTCGGTTGCGGAGTGTTTTCCTCGGGAGATGTTCTGCTTTGTAAACGGCCCAAACCTGTCCATCGTGTGGTTTTATCGGGATTTTGTGTTTAAAAGAAAATTATTCGCTGCAGATCTGCCTCTTGAAACTTCGTTAGATGAAATTTTACAATAACTGACACTTTTGGAGGGTCAGGTGTCCTTGGCATTGACGATTTTTGTGTTATTGTCCCCAAAAATTAGCGTTATAGATATTATAAACAATTTTCAATTATAATTTGTCTTTATTTTACGATGACCTGCACTTTTTGAAAATGGGTAACCTCTGTCTGTGACCTTCTTGCCAGTTTTCAATAGTTATGACCGCATTTTCAGCTGCTTTCCGGAACACGGGTCTGCTGTCGTGCGAGGGTCGTTCAAAACGCCGTTAGTCCCGCATGG